GCCCGAGACCATGTAAAGCTGGGATCCATTGGCTTGATTCTGCTGGCAAGCCTTTGAAAATACGCTTAAATTTGACCTAGCTGGAAAAATCAGGAGAAACAAAAGGGTTTGGCAGCTACACCTTCCAACCAGATGCCCTCACTGATAGGGCAGAGGGAAACAACTCCCATGGGACCCCAAAATTAACTCTTGAAGCCCACACAAAGGAAGACAAAAGGCGACTGTCTGGAAAACCTTCATCTTGAACATCAAACTGCTGAAGAGCTTGGCCTGGCGACAAACTAACCTTAACCTTTTAATACAGTGGAAGGTAAAGAAGTAGGTAAATATAAATTAACCTGACTCTGCTTTGTGTTAAGGGTTTATGCCACCCAAAGACCCTTCCACATGGCTGAAAGGTAGGTTAGTGTAAGCACAGCCACAGCCTGTTGTACTTCTTCAGCCGCTATCAGTATGTTAAAGTGTTTGTTAACACCAGGGGCCCTTGGTCCCCAGTGCTGAGTTAAGGGCTCTTTCTTCCCCCTCCTCGAGCCTTTTTAGGCTTGCCAGTGAGAACAGCCTCCAGGTACAATTGCAAAAGCGTGCCTGAACCATTGCATTTTGATGAGAATTATTATGAAATCACCTGTGTCAAAGAAAAGGTCAAGAAAAGGGAAAGACACTGATGAAAGAGAGCCAGAAAAACAAGCCCAGAAAGAGGAGCATACCAAAAATTATAACACTGCTGCCCTTGTATTATCCAAGTCACCTCTCTCATATTAACACCGAGCCAGCAGCAGAAGCAGAGGTAATAATACAAATAATAACTTTCCTGTCATTAGCTCTCCCAGCTTGGGAGAAGAATGAGGAACTTAAAACGAACTCCACTGAGCACACATATGCGATGCAGACCTGCACAGGGGCTCCTGCTTGCACAGGGAGCCAAAACATCCTCAGCTCTCAGAGCTGGATGAATGGGTTTAAATGTTCAACATCAAACCTGGCGCACAGCAACACGCTACTATAATGAATGTGAGGCATGGGGACACCTGGATTCTATTCAGGCCATGATGGCAAGCAGGTCACATCTCTTCCCCATGCGTCAGGTTCCCTACCTGGAATCAGGAGATAATGATATCCCTTTGTAAGTGACTTTGAGCTCTATGGATTAAACTTTGCCTTTGAATATAAACCATGAGCCAGATCCTCAGCCTTGTGTTAATGACAAGGTAGTCGCGCATCTGGGCCCCATGTGTACAGAATTTAATAACATTAATTGAAAAGGTATTTGGGCTCAGACCCTCAGAAGTGTTTAGGTGTTTAAATCCCATCATCTCAAACAGGAATCATGTACCTATAACTCTTTGGAGATGCAGGGCTGTAGCACAAGGATTCAGGGGGTCCCTTCAGCTTTGTTGCTGACTCAATGCATGACATCTGCATCTCCTAACAAAGCACAGGGCTTCGGTTCATCAGAACAGATTATCAGTTCAAGCAAGCAGCCATCAAAATCAATGAAGATCGTGGATAAAGACTTTGGATCATCAGATGTAAAACTCTTCAAGGCCTTGGACAGTAATTCCTGATGAGAACTTGTGGAAGAATTCATGGGCTTTTGCCTGGTCTCCTAGGAAATGAGATTTATACCACCACACAGCAGCCTGTCCTCCCTAATAACCTTAAAGCCTATTTCAGCTTCATTCGAGTTTGACATCAAAGTACAGAGCCAAAAATGCCACATTTTTGCAGATGCTGTAAAAACAGGCAGCAAAGTAGAGAAAAGAAAGAACTCCTTCATGTTTTCGCTGGAGAGAAAGGCAGGGAGGGCTTGAAGCCATCTGGGAGTTCACTTGTAAGACATGTATATTGGGAAACGGCTTTATTACTGGCATTGCATGGCTCCCTTGATGCCCCAAAGCGCTAACTCCTACAGAAAGGAAAGCAACACTTAGGTTGATATAGGCAGAACAGCAAGAACCCAAGCCAAACCCTGGGAGATACTCAACTTTACCTCGACTGGCACGTCCCATGCACATGTTATCTGGCGTTACTACTTCTTGCTTGATTGTGAAGTAGTCTGTCTGCAGGGAATCCGTCTGCACTGGGTCACGCAGGATGACCGAGGGATAGTCGTTCTCGTACTTGAGGGACAGGAGCTCTTCCGAGCTGATGGGATGGAGGGTCTGGTAGGACTCTGTGATGAAGCTGGGCTCGGAGAACTCAGAGGGAGGCACGCACTGTGCGTGCTCAATGCCATAACCTGTTGGCAGAATGGGAGTGTCAGAAAGCAACCCAAACAGCTCAGAGAAACCAGAACATTGCTCGTTCCCCCAGCACAGTGATATTTGAAGTCTGCAGTGCAAGAGGAGACTGCCTCTGGGTATAAAGTAACTGGCACAATTGGGCACTAATATCAAGGAAGGTTTCTAAAAGCTACAGAGAGATGGTGTCTTACCATTGCAGCAATTTAAAGAAATAAGACATCCTCAACCAGCATCAATGTGCATTACGACAAAGTCCTCTCAAGCAAGCTGCTAGTGGGGAAAAGCTGGAAAATCGGACTGTAGCCTCAGCAAAGGAGATATAGGGCAAAGAAGTCTCATTGATGACTGTAACAGATGAGCCACTTCCACAGTCACCTCTGTGGCCAGAGCCTGGAATCCCAGTTTAAGGGAGTCGGGGTTTTCTGACTGGTTCATGAAACACATCACAGATTTCAAACGCCCTTAAAGAACATCTCCAAAGCAATGGCAATGGGAAGTGCAGGAGTCCAAATTGATGATACAGCCCTTTCCTTGCTAGGCTTCCACCTAGCAATCCAGAATTAAGCCTTCTTCCCCCATTCCTGCCCCTTTTTAGTAAGTTTTTTTAAAATCCCCATTTTTCTGGAGTATTGAGGTCACTTTTCAGGTCTGCTTCAAACGAACAGTGCTTGCAAAGTCAGACTGTGTCATCTCAATGCAGGCATCAAGATAACACAGACAGCTTGTAAATAAACCAAGAACACCACTAGGAAAGACAAAGTCACACACTTTGCATGCTCTGCCATGACAGAGCAACAACAGCATGATGGAGTCCTTGGGTGATGCAGACAAATCTCTAATAGGTGATGCTTTCACGCCTAGAAAAGCACCAGAATGATACTGATAATTGTGACTTACTAATTAAGTAGTCTGAAGTATAACGGGACTCTGGGTATGTTGTGTTCACTCCGTTTGCTGGGTATGGTTTTACCTCTTCTGCAAAAAGGAAAGGAAGGAAATGTCACATGTCCGTAGGCACATCATGCTGTGCAAGGCTTGCTGTAATACACAGAGCTCTGAACTTCCTAAAATGCTCCTCTCTGCGTTATGCTGGGATGTTCAAAGGAACCGAAATGAGTTAGGAGCTGAAATCCCACTCAAGCAATTACATGATGCACTTGGGTCCCTTCGGGAATTCTTGCTGCAGGAACGCCCCAGATTTCAACCAAACCAAACTAAACTGCAACAACTTTCTCAACCAGAGGCTCCAGGTAGTTCTGAGATACTGGTTGCATCATTTCCTTGCTTGCCTTAATTTCTGTTGTGTTTCATTCTCTTGAGGATTGTTTATCGCACATGTATGAGCACACGAAGAAACTCCACTATACAAGGACAGTTCTTGAAGAAGGCCCTATTTCTAGACCAGCAGTGTGCAAGCAAGTGGGTAATGCAGAACCAGCTCCTATGACCCCAAACAATACTAATTCCCAGCCTACTCAGCACCTTTTACCTTGCATCTGCAGCAGGCAGAAGATCCCATGCTCAAATAAAGCTCTGCCACACTGTCCATCACCCAACTCCTGATACAGACCTCGCTGTGTATACAGGGGCAGCACACAGCATTTTACCTTCCTATAGGCCTAAATCACTGAGAAACAGCAGGTAGCACATCAAAGCATAGATTCCCCATTTTCCATCCCTTTTCCTGAGCACTCTGGTAGTCCTGGGAAAGCAAATTCAGAGCCAAGCCCATGTAAAAGCCACACTGCTGCTCCCTTGACCAGTTTTTCCATTAACACCTTACTCACTCCAGCACGGTATGTGGGCTGAGATACTGGCATGGGAGACTTTGCTCTCTTTGCAGAGGGTAACCAAAATAAAACACACACACACACAGACCACTCCGGGTTATGTTTATTTCTGCTGAGGCCGAAGAGAAGCGAACCGAAGATAACGCACGTTCGCTTGCAAGAAGCCTAATTTTGTCCCTCTCTCCTGGGGATTGCAGGGTGGAAAATGTTCCCTAACAAAAGGAGGGTTTGTGCAAACAGAGACCTAATGAGAAGCGCTCTTTTCCACTCCCCACAGTGTTTGCCAAGGGGCAGGGTGGGTGACCACAGAGAAAGAGAGCGACCTTCAGCTATGCTTACAGTCAAGTGGAAGGCACTGCTGACTGCTGGTAACTGAAGAGGTTATTTTAGGAAGAAATTTGGGAAAAATAGACCTGAAAATACCCAAATCCATGCAGGGAAAAGTTACCCATCTGCTGCCTTTTTTAAACCCTGTGGTACATGAGTCACTGGCAGAAAGCGCTCACAAGGGAGGCATGTTAGCAAGGTCACAGCCTGTCCCAGCACGACCTGATGCTATAGGTAAAGCCAAACATTTTGGGGTTAACCACCACTCCCAGCATCAACACCCCCAAGTGATGATGGTGGGTGGCTGGGGAAGATGGAAGAGATGGGGATTAACAAGTTGGACCCTGGCTCCATGGTTAAGCCTGGGGAAACCTTGTTCTCTTCATGTTTTGTGGACCTGCTCAAGAGGCCATGAAGATGCTCCGAGGGCTGGAGCACCTCTGCTATGGAGATAGGAAACATGATGCCTACTTCACCATGAAACCACAGCACCAAGCTCATCAACGTGCCCTGGGAATCTGCAGGAAGGAGCTGCACACCCAGCTCTGATGCCTCAGTCACCCTCTCCAGTGACACAAACAACTGAAGAAGCGTTGTGGGATGGTAGAGCTGCACTCCAAGTGAAGGCTTATAGCAAGGAGAAATTGGACTGACCACGTTTTGCTTTGTTTAGTTAAGCTGCTTGCTGTTGATATAAGCACTCAATAAAAAATAGGCAAAATGAGAAGAAGAGAACAGATATAAGTCAAAGAGCAGAATAACAGCCTGTTGTACGCAGGCCCTGGGAAGAACCATGTTTACTTTCTGTAAACCACAGGTAGCAGTAAAATTAGTACCCAGCAATTAACATCCATTTGTCAATGGTTTCCTGGAAGGCATAACTTTGTTCCCCCTCCCCTTCCTGACAAGCACTCAGGGTCAGTCTGACAGTGCAAGGGATATTCCAGGAAAGCAAACTGCTCTGCATAGAAAGGAGCCCAGATTTGCTGCTGCCCCCTGCTCGTGGTTAAATGTGTTAAGCTCTTCACCTGCTCTTCAGAAACCATCCCAGGCTAAGTGCTGCTTGGCCATCCACACACTGTGAAAATCAACACCCAAAATCAACATGTGATGTGTGTGTGTCCCCAGATCAGTGAAAATTAATGCCCTTGATGCTGACATGCAGGGACTGGCAGAGGTGGCTTTTCCTGTGGGGAAAACGCCATTTGGGACATGAAACAAAGCAAAGCAGCTTCCAATCACAGCTGGGAAACGAGGGTGGGATTTTGGTGGTATTGTTGTACCCAGCTCTCCCGGAGGAAGTAGTAAAACTCACAACAGGAGCTGAACGAGCCAAGGAAGAATGCTTTGGAAAATCCCACCGTTGTTTCCAGGCAGGCAGAGCGCCCCTGCCCACTGCGGGTTCCTGCCAAACACCCGGCACTAACACTCTTCCTCTTTCAAGCAGTGCCAGGACTTGCGCTGCCCGCTGCTGGTTGGGATGCTCGTTTGAAATCCTACTGGGAAGCTGGGCTTTGAAAGCTGCTTTGGCTGGGATCAAAGCCCAAGGTGAACACCTCATTGCAGAGGCAAGCCTGCGAGCCAAGATCTTTGGAAAGGCCCGAAATCAGGCTAGCCAGGATGAAGCGACTCATTCACCCTGGGGACTCCAGGACTCACCTTTCTGCAGGATCTCCAGATGTTCCCAAAGGATGTCTCCCACAAAGTCAGGCGCTAGCTCCAGGAAGCACTCCTTGCCCAGGGCACAGAGGGCAGCTCCGTTCATGCAGAACTTCTGGAAATCCACTCCCTTCAGGCTGAACTCATTCACTGCCCACATCACCCAGTCCCGCACGTGCGTCTCCGTCCACTGCTGGGGGTCTGCAACAGGGAGGGGTAGAAGAGGTGCATTAGTGAGCAACCACAAGCTATCTGCCCAGGGGAACAGGACACAGATGGTGCTACTGCTGCACTGCAGGGCCTCATCCTACAGAGACTGGCAGTCCACTGGCATAAGGGTGAAACATGACGGGGGAATATCATTCCCACAGTTTGGATCAGCCTTATTGCAGATTTCATACAAGGAACATTTCATACAAGGAACGAGTTTGGATTTTTTGGGGACTTTTAAAAATCCCACCAGTTCTCTGACCCCTTCTCCCACCCATTTTTCTCCATTTCTTCCTGTCATCAGCCTCTATTAAAAGGGTTCCTACTGCTTCTCCATGTAGTGGAGATGGAAGTCTTGCAGCTGCCTCCAAAGAAGCAGGTCCCCAAAGGTGCAGGAGCAGAAGTTAGCAGGACAGACAGGGACAATCAGTCACAGAAGTGTAGTTTGCAAGTGGTAGGAGGACACAATCTCTGTGGCTACCACGGCTTCTCACTGGGAAACCATGTCTTACCTTTGGGGATTCCCAGCCGCTGCTGCTCTTTGGCAAAGCCACTGAAGGTGGCTCTCAAGGCCTGAGACATCATTTCTTTGCTGCTGGGAGTTAATAAAGGCACATCCGCACATTCCATATCTGAAAGAAGCAGGAGAGAAAAACAGCCATAAGGACATGGGACTGGGAAAGATGACAGGAGTGGTGCTGGCCATTGAACTGCCAGAAAAACAGAGAAATCCTCTTCTCTTCTGGAATTTTCACACCCAAACCCCTCTAACCCTACACCTAAACCCTGGAAGTCCATGAGCAGGCTCCTGAAACACAAGAAACAGACTCTTGAGCTTATAAATAAGCCCGTACTGAAGAGCATAAATAAGGCATGTCTAGTAATCTGGGTGACATGGTGTGCGTGGTCTCCCTACAAGCCAACCATGAATGTGCTACTGGAAATTTGATGGTGATATCAAAGACTTTACCAGGCATCATCCTACTGGGCTTCATAATCGAAGGTGGCATCTGGAGCCTGGAAGATAGCTGAGCAGCTGCAGACACAAAGGAATGTAGAGTCCACAGAAGGGTGAAGGAGAAAGCAGGGAGAAAAGCATCTCAATTACCACTCCACTTCTGGGCATCCCGCTCCAAAGGAAAGCAAAAGGAAAACGCTAATTTTAAAGCAGTCCTGGAAAAAGAAAGCTGACAGCAGGCTGGGGCAGGACGAAGAACCGGTAGAAAACCCATTTGAGAGGGAGGGAAAACAAAGAGCTGGAAAATCCCACATTAGCACAGAGTTACATCATGCACAGCCCATGGCATGGAGCGATGCGTTTCGGGGTGAGTCACTGAACAACGCTGAGCCACCCCCATGGGAGAGCATGGAGCCAAGAGCTGGGCCTCGGAGTACGTCCTGATGAGAAGCAAAGCTCTTCCTTTCTTTTTTTTTTCCCTTTTTCCAATTCATGTGGAAGGAGGTGGGTATTTATAGCCAAAAGGGTTTCATAAAAGCAACCACTTGAAGGAAACCCTCCTCTATCTGAATCACCAGGTTGGATGGGGCTTGGAGCAACCTGCTCTAGCGGAAGGTGTCCCTGGCCCGTGGCAGGGGGTTGGAACTGAATGAGCTTTAAGGTCCCTTCCAACCCAAACTGGTCTGTGATTCTGCAATTCCCAGTCTAGGCTTCCTGCTCCACTCAGGTTCCCCTCAGCTAAATTCACAGGCATCATTTAAAGTCCAAACAACACAATGCTGGGATCTTCTTTGGCAACTGGGAACATGGGGGTTGGGTCATCCATGTGCAGCTCTGTAGCACAGGGTGAGGCTGACCACGCTGCACAGCATCTCCAAATCATCAGCTGGATGCAACAAATGCAATTCCACTGCCAAGCCAAACAGAGCAACTTCTCTGTCTCCATCTTTGCCCCTTCCACCTATTGTCCCCAACTAAAAGACATGCAAACCCAACCCCCCCCATTTGCAGTTAGCCACCACGGCACTGAAGGAATTGCACTACTAGTAGAATTCCCAACACCGAGCCTCTTGGGACCCAATTCCTCCCCCTAACCTCCCCACATAAATCAAGGACTGCGTGCCACAGTGGAAGTATCAGGACCTTCAAAAGCAAATAATGCATTCAAAGGCTATTTGGCAAATTACACTTCATTATTTACTGGATTTGGCTGGAGAGGGCATGGAAAAACGAGCAGCCACCCTTGCTATCTCTGTTCTCCATCTGCCGCGCCGAGATAACACTGGGAGAAAGTGGTTCAGTGCCCCTTTCCCTTCATCCTCATGTTACATTTTAATGCTTTGCTTTTCTGTGCTCTGTGGTTACAGGGACCACCCAGGAATCCGCTCCCCTCTGCCGGCTGGTTAAACAGCAGTTCACTGCTCCAGGGTGCTATGGGAAGATGAGTCAAAGTTGGGCTTAAACAACATTTCTAACCCCAATTTGAACACTGAATCACTCACAAAAACCTATATGGAGGTGGTCTCCTTATACAAGCAGCAGGGCAAGGTGAGGTTTACTTATGACACAAGTAAATAACTCTCAGGGGTCCCCCCCATCCTCTCCAGCAGGATTCAGGTTGGGTTAGTTGGGTTTGTACCTACCCAGTGAATCAATTTTTCAGTAGCGGGGGATAAGGTTTCGGTTTAGTAAGGTGAACGCTGAGCTCTGCACAAACACCATGTCAAAACAGGGAACACTTAAAAGCGATTCCCAGGGAGAGGTCACCGGAGAAGCAAACAGTCTGTTTTCAAGTTTGAAACGCAAAGTGCCACAAGAGGGTTTCTATTTAGACACCAAAATAAACCAGAACATCCATTTCAAGGCTTCTCCACCAAATAACATTGTGCTCGGCTTTTGAAACATCATATCCTCTTTTTCCTGTTAGATCATAGCTACCAGTTAACATTTCTTCAGAAGACAAAACAGCCCCAAAGCCCCAAGCCTGCAAACACTTGCAGAAGCCTTATTTGAGTCAGCAGTGTCCCGCGTCGATAGAAAAGCTCGTATGTGTCAAAGAGTGTTTGTAAAGCTCTACAGGAGTGTTTGTGGACATGTCACCTGGAAGAGATGGCAAGGATGGAATTTTTAATCTAAATTCTGCCTCTGTTGGTTTTGAGACTTAATTTCATTTACTTAAGTATTTACTGGATTTACTTAAGTATCATCTTCTTTGTGAATCCCTGCGGGTCCGGGGAGTACAATGGGCTCTGCCTGATGCAACTTTGCTGGGTGCAGGGAAGCTATTGCCCAGGGAGGAGAATTAAGCCCTGGTGATGTCCTCCAGCACCCACAGACAAGCCCTTTGCCTTCCGTTTGGGATGCCTAAAGGTCAGAGCGAAGCAGCATTTCGGTAACAAAAGCCACCCAGGCTCAGGTCCCCGGTTTCAGCTTTCGCCACCATCTGAAACCTGTTTCCAAGATTTTAATCAAACCTTGCACAAATAAAACATCTCCTTTTGTGTCCCTCCTGGGGTCCACAAAGCACACACATGCTCACAGGCGTGCACACACATGGGCTCAGGAGAAATGTACGTGGAGAAGCAGGACCCAGCACCAAACCCATCTGTTATACCTGAGCTCAGTTTAGAAATGTCAGGGTTTTAACCTGAAAAGCAAACACAGCAGTGGGGCTGTCCCTGCCTGTGGCAAGGGGGCCAGTTCCAGGATGAGCTTTAAGGTCCCTTCCAACCCAAACCAGCCTGTGATTTGCCTTGCACAGTGGGAAGGCAGAGAGGGACATCTATTCATCTTAGCTGCAGCTCTCCAAAGCAAGGAGGGCTCATTTTGAGAGCCCAGAGGCTCCTCAAAACCAGACCCTATTTTTCCACCAGCTCTCCTGGCAATGGGACTTCAGAAAGACAAGAGGATAATAACAACCTAGACACTACCAAGAGCCAACACTGCATGCCTATGTGGGTTCCATGCCCAAATCCCACCATTCAACTCCTACTAGGTGTTGCACCAACAGATGCGGTGCCTGAGAGAAAACCAGCCAGCGAATGGACAAGGAGGTCAAGATCACTGAGTTCATCTCCCAGTCACATTCCCTCACTGCTCTCACCAGGCTCCACATGTATAAACTATTTCCACGCATCTGATCTTTTTAAAGGAGTATAATTTACAAACTTCAGGGATTTTGACCTTAAAATGCAAGCGGCCCCACTGCACGCCAAAGCATTAGCATCTATTGCATAAGCAAAACAAATGGCAGCAAAGGGAACAAAAAACCAAGATGCTCCGAGCAGGAGGATGGGAGCAAAGTCACTTTTCACCCGAGTTTCCACTCGGGGTCAATGCCTCTTTAAAGCTCCCCTCGGCCACTCACTGTCTTTCCCAGTCAGTGTGTCCTTGACTGGTTTCTGCTCTTCTACCCGGGAGTAAATGGATGTACCTGACCCAGTGGCCTCCTCCTGCCCTTGCTCTGATGGATGGACACCAAGGTCAGGAACCCACCTCGCTGTTGTCACAGGTAAAACCCTGCTCCCTGCCCAGCATCCTCATCCTCCCCTTCCCAGGCCTCAGACTAACCCTGCAGCATTCTGGTATCAGGAGGATTTCTGGCCTTTTGGTGGCTTGAAAGAGGCATGAAGACACGTTTGGGAGAAGATGAGTGCTGGTTCCAAACCAGATCATTCACAGAGAGTCAAGAAAAGTCATCTCTATCAGACTATGCATCCACAGGTGGTAGGAATATGGGCCCGTCTCCCTCAAAAGCTCGCAGTCCCCAAGCCCTGAGGTAGCCGAGATCCTCCTCTAAGCCCCCACACATGACACCAGTGCTGCTCCGCATTGAGGTGTCCACTATCCAGGATCTCCCCCCATTACTGGATGTCTGAGATGAAAAGAGGAGTTTCTAAGATGCTTTGCAACCTTTTTCCCATGTGCCCACTGCAAGCCCATGACCGCCAAGCCCCAAAGACACCCCATCTCCAGCCCACACCAAGCTGAAAGCTGCCCAAGCTTGTCCCCTGCTGCTCCAAACCCCCTCCATCCCAGCCTTCCCGAGGCCCAAACCCATGTCAGAGCTAGCGATGGGGGACGCTGAAACACAGACAAGCATTCCCAACAGCAGGTTTCGGCAGCCGAGAAACCTTTCTCAGGGTAAAAGTAGGCTGTGGAGAGGGGGGCCAGGAGCCGAGACCCTTCCCACGCTCCCCAAGGAAGCAGCCCGGGCACCAGGGAAGCATCATCTCCCCATCTCAGGTTTCCACCACCACTTTTCCCTGGTGCCCCCCGCTCCGGAGCAGGGACACCCGGCAAAGAACCCCCAGGCTGAGCCCCCTGTTATTTAGGCAGGATTAGGCTAAAACTTTGCCTGCACTTTTGAACTGTTTTCACAAGCGTTGCCTCTCACTCCCACGCAGGAAGCGGGAGAGGAGCCGGCCTGTTCCAATTAGGGCTCCTCGGACTGAAGGGCAGCAAAATCAAGGGTGGGGGAAAAGGGAAAACAGGGCAGAAAGCCTGAATAAAAGGGAACAGAAGGAAAACTGGGAAGCAAGGATGGATGGGAAGAAGGGGTGAGCATAGGAAGAGATGTTTTCTGGGGATGTGGGGATGGAATGGGAGCAGAGAGGCATTGGACTGGGCAGTACAGAGGCAAGATCTGGTTCCCCTTCCTGCAGCAACTCAC